GGATTATCTTACTTTCTAGAACAAAGTCTTCTGAATTTCCTGAAAATATAAAACCTAATAAAGAATAACCATTCGCGATGTGATCAAAGCCGAAAAGTTTGAACACATTTCAATCTATATTGATGATTTTCAAGAGTTGCAAAACGAAAAATGACTAACAATAACAGAATGATAATGCGTGATTGATTATCCTGCGAGTAAATACATATATTAAACGTATGCAAATGAGATGACCACAAAATGAGAAAATTTGCATAAACACGCCGTCGCATGCAACGCTTGAGATAAGTCTATATACTCAGTCCAAAAGTATATAAAATGCCTTTGCTCTCCCAACGAACCACTTCCTTCTTTGATCTTCTCGTAGACAAAAAAATTCACGCGTATTTAGTTGCTTTTTTGTTTAGCGAAAAACTCAGAACATTTCGAGAGTTGCGTTTCTTATGTGTTTACCTTTCATTGCTGAACGTTTTTTTTTTTCATCTATGCATTTAAATTCTTGCTCCTTTTATCAAAAATTGAACACCTCTGTGTGAGTTACTGTATTGTTTGTTGAAAAGCATTTAGTGAGAAAAAAACTGCGTAGTGATTCTACTCCGTTTATATGCGTGCCCATTTAATAATATTTCATCAATATCAAACAGTGTTTTCAGACTGAACAAAATAGTGCGTGAAACTGTATGCACTGTTCCCAGCATCGACGAAGTCTCACTACTTTATATAAGTCTTTTAGCGTGAAAATTGGCTTCGTCGGAAATTGGCATTCGACGAAGAATCCTCGAAAGATTTAAAAGATAAAGAAAGAGAAGATGAAAGAGCAGGCAGTCAATATCTGCGGAGCTCCGTTTCAATGAAGAGGAAGTGTTTTAAGCCTCAATTTTTGCTCGCGACAACATGGTTATGTGCTTGAGGAAGAGAGGTCCAAGTCTGCTGATAAAGCTCTGAGGGACCCGCAACGTTGATAGAAATCGACGACGCGGGAGAACCGGGGCAAAGAATGCGAAACTAGTTGTGTAAGTATTCTCGATTGTATATCTTGAATATAATTGCATATTGGTATAAAGTTGACTCACTTTTGGCATTCCTTGAGAAAAGAATTGATTTGTGCTAGAATTATGACAAAATAGGCCGTAATACACTGCAGAAGGAACAGGACAATCGAGATTCCCGTTCCACTTCGACGAAAAATGAATCGGCATCGGAGGTCTTCCACGTTAAGAGTGTGGATAGTCTTCCGCGTCAGCTTAAGAGGAAGCTGCCGGAGCCGACGACTAATGCATACGAAGTCGTCGTTGATGGAGAACAAGCCTCTATCGGTAAGTGGCCGTATCCTTCAAATGAAAAAAAAATGAGAAAAGAGAAATATGTGTATGTGAAAGAGAGTGGTTTCAATTTCTTATGTATATTCAAAAATGGAACAGTATGAATGCTATCATAAATTTTTATTTTGTGGCTTCTGTAAGCACTGATTTGAATCTCTCAAGGAATGGCGCAGTAGTTTTCATCTGTATGGCATAACTTTTTAAAAGGAAAAAGAACTTAACTCAACTAAAATGATGTGGAGCATGATTCGAATATTTTGAAGTGAATTATGTTATAAATAGTAGCAAAACTTTGCTGGCAATATTGACAGAATTTAGAATTCACTGGCAGCTTCCAAACAGCACTTCTTTCGAAAACTTCATAAACGTATAAGTAATATGTTTTCAACAAAATAAACTTTGACAGTGGATTGAAATAACGCACTTCTGCTATAGCTGTAATTCTATAGATTCAAATGCATAAAAGTCTTCAAAATTTATATAAGACTGTAATATTTTTATTGCTGATTTATTTTAATATTAGTTTTTTTTTAATTACTGATTTATTAAAATTTCAAAACTTCGCTATTCTGACAAATCAGTGAACGAAAATATCAACAATTACAAGCCCGCTAGGAACATAATGTGATTGATGTTGATTTCAGTGTCGGTCAAATTCACTTGACATTGCTGCGCTTCTTCGCTCCACATTTCATTCTCCAATGTTGCTTGTGCCATCTGATTAACACTTGAAGTATTACTATCCGTGTTAGGGCACGCCAATGAACCCTGAAGTCTATTTTGATTTTTGAACACAGCAGATTGGCAAGGCTTTTCGGCTGCGTGAATATCTTCGTGTAGTTTTAAATCACCGCGTCGACTAAAGCATCTTCCGCATTTATCGCACATGAAAGGCTTTTCACCCTTGTGAGTTTTCTGATGTATTTTTAAATTATAAGATAGACAGAAGTGTTTTCCGCATTCACTGCACAAGAAATCTTCATAATCCAGATGAGAAATTTTTCTAATAATCACTTAAATATCTAAAAATTTTTGGTGAGGAACTATCATCCACCAGCATGGCATTCTGATTCAGTTTCACGTTTTGTTATGGTTTGCATTCATTTCAGATTGGAAATGAATGAATGGAATGGAAAGTGCAAACAGCACTTCGTACTTCTGTTTCGGTACGCAAAATCGACAGAGTACAATCAACGGAGCAGCGAAGTTTCTGAAATTATATGAGGAGAGAATAATTTTTCGACAATTATCAATTTTTGTGTTCTGTTTTTGTTGTAATTTTTTTTTTGCATTGTTTTTATGTTTATGTTTACTTGTAACATTTTTCTGTCTTTCTGTATGGTAGTTTGTATGAGAATTTTGTAGACTTTTTGTATTTGTTCATTTTCTATACGTTGTATCCTTACGTATTAGATTATAGTTGAGTGAAAAACACCACTTGTGCATTTTCTTAAAGATCAGTGTTTTCACTCACAATAAGTTTCGATTCAAAAAGAAAATAAACTTGCATGGAATGCCTGGATAAGTATGATAAAGCTGGATAATACTTTTTGAAAAGTTAATAGAAATTATTACTTAAAATATACGAACAACCTTAACTACACTAATAACATGTCGAGTTATGATACTGAAAAATGTTGGAAAGTATATTATAATAAGAATTGTGAGGCGCCTTAACTATATCAATAACATGAGTTACAATGTTAAAAGAGTAGTGCTGGAAAATATAATAAGAATTGATAAGGGTTAATATAATAAGAATATAGTAGGAATATATGTTTTAATGTCATTTTCGAGGTAATGCCGGATGTATTCGTTATCAGCTAGTAGTATTTTGCTTCTACGATGACCTTTTCCATTGTTCAGCTTCAAATATATTTCAGATCTGATAAATATCAATAATCTGACCTATTTGCTATATCGCTGTCACAGCCACTATACACTATTAATTACTTCCGACGACATTTATACTCTCTATCAATGACATTACTGAATACAATAGTAAGTAGTGTTTAAGTATGCTGATAGTTGTGATGAAAAGTAGTGCGTGCAAGCATTAAGAAGTGGTAACTAGTAGTAAAGCTGAAGGTTCTACTAGTAATAGCAAGTGCTAATACTAGTAGAACCTTCAGCTTTTTTCTACTTACCGCATCAAACGGTAGTGAATGAAAGCAAATATTATACGGTAAGAAAGTAGCAATAGTAGTATGGAGCTAGTACATCACCAGCAGTTTAGTCGGTTTCAGGGATAAGGTGATGATTCTCAATTTCCATAGTTCAAAATCCTTGCTTTACTTAGAGTTGAAATCGAGACGAGAATTTAGTGCTACCATCACGTGCTGTTTCTTACTTGCAGTGAAACACATTTGCCGTTACCTGATCTATATTATCACTCCTATATTTTCAAACATATTATTTGTGGAAATTTGTTTGTACTTGATTTAGTATCATCTGATTTATCAAGTGTCACTGGGATTACGGATAATTCTAAATATGAAAAGCTCAATAATGCGTGAAATAAACAATGGCAGATATGATTTTGTTATCTGTTCCTCTCGCAATAAACTAGAAATGCAATTTCTAAATAAAATAGCGCGACCTGAAAAATCGTGTGATTATTTATACTGATAACTGATATTCTTATAGAGGATTACTTTTACTGTGAAACTGTAAGAAAGGTAATTGCATATAAATGGAATTACATGCGAATAAAAAAGTAGTAGCGTGACAGGCAGTTATTAGGTCTATAAGCAATTGTACTTCTAATCAAATCAAAACTGACAAAGACTTCAAAATCAATATAGACTTGCAGTACAGTACCAAATAGAACTGGTAGAATTTACAATTCAAAAATCATGCAAAAGACTTTGACCCTTTAAAATATGCACAGTAGTAATATTGTAGAAAGAATTCATTGGAAATTATAATTGAAGAAAATATGAAGGACCCGAACCCAACTTATATAATGTTGAACAACAATAC